TTGTACCTGTTCAGAATAAACAAGCCACATTTTTGTCGTAACTTGCATCGTTACCTTCGCGTTTTATAACGTCGTTAACTCTAAAACCCATAATAATGTTAACTTTCTGGTTAATTTCCATGTTGGATATCTGAACTAGAAGGTGATTGTTTAGAAGCGCATTGTGACTGGATCCAGTAACATCCAGTTGGAATCAGAAATTTATAACTCTCATCCATGTTGAACATTGGATTGAAATAGCTCCGATAATCCGAATTGACATACCCACTTAACACAACGTGCACAATAAAGTCCATCGGTTTGCATTATCATACGTTTACCATTGATTACGGTCCTACTTTTCTTGGTCTTCTTTTAGCAACGGTCTACTTTACCAAACGTTGCACTCTGCGAACAGGTTTTGATCCTTGTGTCTGGTGAACGTGGATCATCCGAGTGTTATTTATATGCTGATTTAGAATATTCACCTTCAAGTCCATTGGGTCTTTTGATAATGTACCGGTTTCAACTCGTGAAAAGAGATGCGAAGAGTCCCTCAGACGTGCTACATATTCAGTGCATACTTGTCTCTGGAAACCTTCATCTCTCTCATCCCTCTCCCGCTTTCATTATAGAATGTTGTTATCTGGGTCGATCACTCTGGAAGAGGCGAATACATGGAAATCCAAACTGATGGCATTCTGATTTGTACGCATTCCTTCCTCTAAACACCCCCCTCACACAATCCTACCGGTCCCGTTTGGAGACGGACAGATTCGTATTTGCCTTATTTTCATTTTATACGAAAAAGGGAATAATTTATTGTAACCTCTCTGTCTATTTGTGCTTCCGACTATTAGTAATGGGGTTCAGTGGCTTCTTCGGAAAGCATACGGATGACCGCTCCGTTGGACTGTGTTCAGACAATCACCCAGGGATTCGATTTCATCCGGAGATTGCCATTCGTCCAAGCGTAGCCAAGGTTCAAATTGTTAAATATGCATTTCGGATGTTGAGCCCGTGCGCACCAGCCGGGAGCTGACGGTTTCTCGTGTAAATAGAGTTCCAATGTTTGCACAAAAGACAAGTGCAGGCAGGGGACATGTGGTGGGGTGCAAGCAATTCTTATTACTTTCTTCGGGCGTAAACGAAGAACATATATGTGAGAACGTACGCCTGACATGGGAGTGACACTGAATTTTGGCGTGATCTACTGTTCTTTCAATTAGGACGGATCTAGTAATTTGTGTATTAGTCGGGCAGAATAATGTTTTGGATCAAATGCTCTATCAGCACTGTCTGTATAAACCGCGTGGTTTTGGGGCTTCGAAATTTCTTGATTACGACCGTTTGTTTGTTTTGGTTTTCTCTTGCCTTATCCGCTAGTTGCGATATCTCTCTTTTGAGGAAAACAAGTCACGATGTCAACTTGGACTCAGTCAAACGCATACCCCAAGACTTTGACAATGGGTGTTGCTTTACTCGCATCCAAGTCATCTAATTGACTTTGGTTGAGAATGATTGCGCCCTTAACATGTTGCCCAACAATGAAGGAGTTTTTTCGAGATCGATCGCGTGAAGAACGAGCTTGGTAAGTTGCGTGCAAACGTTTCATCACCGACCGAGATGACCTTCTTCCATGCATACTGTTCATCAGGTCAAGTCGAAGAACAGATGGACGTGTATTCAGTCAACCAATTCTCGATACTTTATCATCAGTACACGTGTATGACAGCCATACTCCCGAACAAGTTGGTGGTGTTCGTGCTTTTACAGCACCTCGTTTGATGTGACGCGTTGGTTAAGGATGCTGCTGTTTCATTCAGAGGACCGAAAAATTAATCCTCCGAGTTGGACTGGCGAACAGCAGCGTATATTCCTAAATAGTGAACACTGAACGACCTGAAACATCGTCGTATCCACGTGGTCGTAAGGCTCGATGTCGCAAAACTAGTTTATACCATCTCTGTTAGCTCACGCATAATCACACTCCGTGTGGCAGCCTCATGTGAGATAGCGGCGCAAGAACAAAATGACCTGTTGAGTACCATTCTCACGACCCATTCCCGGTGGCTTTGGAGCGAGTCAATCGATTGGCTTTGATGCCACATCAAAACCTAAACAAGAGCGAAACGTAATAGTGATTGTAATTCAGGTTTTCGCCCCCTGGTCTTACAAGAATATTTTGAAGCTAGGACGTAGAAAGATCCCCAACATCCACGCAGTTCCCATCATGGAACGTTCTCTAATCTTCGCGTTTAGCTAGGCTGGACTGACGCACACGCGTAGCTAACACCACTTGGTCATTATGAAAAATGAAAGCAATACGAAGGTTACACAGATATCCAGACACGTCTGTGAGGAATTAGAACTGTCTGTTTGACATCAGTGTGGAACAAATAATCTGAGTTCGTCTGGAAGTACATAAGATGGGGTTGGGGTAGGGGTTCAGATCACACTGCATCAAGCCAGTTACACAAAGAAGAGCACATGATTTACTTGTGTATTATCGTCCGGGTTGCGTTTATTATTACTCCCTATCTGTAAAGTAAAGGTCAGCTTTGAAAAGACAGCATCGTTGGGATAGATGTAGAGTTGTGGCCTATGAATGAGAAAAAAAAATCAAGGCGTCAACTGAGGGTAGATGGGATCGAGGGATGAGGGGAAATAAATCGTACATATATTCTTTGAAATTAGTATAAATGGAAGTCCATTTTTACGAAAAGAATCATATTGCTGTAGTTGTTGAAAGGCAGTCGGTGAATCAAAGAAGAAGAATCACTTAACCCCTGAAAAAAAACAATGATTGGAAGAAGTTTCCTATTTCACCCATCCGGAACCTCATGAATCATGTATGCATAACTTAGGACACAGACAAGTGTTGAACAGAAAAGTCACGACCTAATATGACTGGCGAGAACACATTGAGAGACAGACGGAAAGATAACGTGCGCGCTGGACCAGGATTCGATCCGGAGTGAGATATGAGGTGGACGAATGAATGAGTGCAGTTCACAGTGCGTATGATCAGAAGGAATGCAAATCATGTGCTGCCCGACGAGCAAGTGGGAGGGGTGGGGGTGAAACCGAATTAGACTGGCGTAGGCGAATCGTTATCGCGCTCGTTGGGCTCATGTTGGGCTGATTTGTATCCTATCTGATTTGGGGTTATCATATCTTCCCGAACCGGGTGGTGTTCGTTGTTTTCAATATCGCCACCGTGATGATTGTCTCCGTTCTCTTGGTCATCTTCCTCGTCGTCGTCTGCACTACAGTCCAGATTTTCAAATTGATTCATCACCAGGCGATTATATGTGTCGACGACGTCATGTACATTGTGCAGATGGTTTGGTCCAGTTTGTATACGCCCGACAGCCCATAGAACCGCATCGTGGACGGTTGGGAACAGTTCAGTGTCTGAGGGAAGTTTGCCGTTTCTGTGAAGCGATTGAACTATGTTGTCTAAAATTTGAATTATCAAGAAGCGTTAGGGCAGTGATATTTGGCACTAAACAAGTGATGCATAAAGCCCAAGCTTGAACACGAGCACGACGCATGTCAAAGTGCTCTGTGTGACTTTTTATTGGATCAGATAACTTATGAAACAAGCTTCCTTTCCAAGCTCAAGGAGCGAGCCACAAAGTTAGTGTTCTGTTTTTCAGTTACGGCAACCGACCATCTAGGCCGCGGAGCTTGAATAGGCGTCGCATATAAGGCTTCAATAGGGTACCGTCACATTGAAATGGACAGTAGTGCATCTGTCCAAGACCAAAGTTGGTTAGCGATGAGTTCGAACCTGGCCGTGGCAGTAAAACCCAGTAAAAAGTGGGCATTTTCAAATGACGAGTTTGTTTCTCTGAGTGTGGCCAACACTACGCAAACTAGTTCGCTTGCTTATGTTCCACAAAAGTGCTAGAGAAACCAGCGCAGAACGCTTAGCATCTGGAAGAAGCCAAAAGCATGGTTTCTAGTGATTCACCGTACAATGTTAGCGCGAGCCACATGTCACGGTGTGTTTGACGCAATTACCAAGTATTTGTTGGATCTCGATTTATCTGTTCAACATTTGTGAAATGTCCCACCTCATCAATGCCTGTCAGGGAGAAGCAAACCGAAGGGTGTCTAAGGACAAATCTCCAAGAGGTGAGCGGTTAAACACGTCTCACTGACAATTCACATTCGTGCTACTGTTACGACTACGCATCGGAATTCAGAGTTCACTAATTTGTCTCAACCCACCGCAATTAACCTCACCACTACATTTATATCCCAAAATGCGCGGTTCGAAAATCATCATTCAAATTAAAACAGCTAGAACTTACCATTCAGTTGGGCCAGTAGAACGTGAATATCAAGTTGACGGAATTCTTTCACCAACTGAAGAGGGTTTTAAAAGGTATAGGGTGTTTCGGGAGAGTGAATTATTGAAACAATACAGAGATGAATTCTCGATATCGAACCTTACTACTCACGAGTGGTGTGTATCGATAGTGGTGAAAGGAAAAACAACTTTGAACACGGATTATAAAATCTGTCCCTGGATAATTGCCCTACTGCAGGCACAATCATCCGATTGGGCTTGTTGGGTCGGCGAGCAGATTTCACGAGTCAAGGCAGGAATGAACCTGCATGTGCACGGACTGTGGCGCCACTACAATCGGATCTACTTGCCTTGGACTGTCCCTTATGTATAGGTCTCCGATCATCTGTTTGACTGAGTGGGTGTCAGATTTATTTTGCTGTCTGATAACACTGGTTGCAATCATATTTTGTCTTCCGGCGTGAATGCAATAGTTTTAGTGATAGGGCGATCATGTGAAGAGCGAAAAACCCCTCGCGGTTACGACTGAACGTGACTGATGGGATACACATTCCTTCTTGAAGACCAACTGCCAACCTTAAGCGGAAAGGAATTGATCAACCGAGAGACTTTCCTCACTCTAACCGCATATTTGTGTATGTGTAAGCGTCATGAATATTTTCCGCTCCTATGCGATCAGCAAGCACAATGAAAAGAACTGATGATGTGCTGAAACATTTCACAAATAAAATAAACAACAATCATTAAGCCGATTTTTCATTGATCAAATGTGAATAAATCGAGGGCAATTTAAAACAGTTTATGAGAGGAAAATGAAGCCATACTTATTTTTGGAATCCAGGTGTCGTGATTCTCTCACAGAAAAGGGCAGTGAATTAGTATACATCCACGCTGAAATCTCCGCGAGCATGAGGTCTTAAGTGTGTAAAACATAAAACAATTAGTATGATTGTGCGTTTTCATTTGATTTCGAGGTGGGTTTTGTGTGCTGAGATAATTGTTTTGATGTGTTTTTGCATTGCATTTATAGTTCGTTATTTTCGAACTAGAAAGAAAAACTGGTTGTGAGATTTACCGCAGTTTTTCAAGCGGCCGAATTAAACTTCACCTCTAAGAACTGCACTTTTGGCATGAAACCCGTAGTCCTTTAGCCTCGACTCACAAAATTTTGTCATACCACTGTAGGCGAGTCAGATCAAAAATTATCGACCATTGTTGAACCATTTTATTTTCTACAAATGTTGGTGTTGCAGAGTTCGGATAAAAATGGGATAGGGTGATGGTATACTGCGCAGTTGACCGTTGCAACAGTATCAAATGGCGCACCACAAATTGAGTGGAGAAGACTTATACGTTCGTATCGTATATTCATTTACTCTCTGTCCGCCTTTCATGCTGGAGAAGCGATAGGGTTCTTTATGCCCATCCGTTTTACCGTTGTCTTATATTGTAGATACGTAGAACGGTAAGTAAGATACGAAAAACATTACTGCTGCCTATTGTGGTGTGCTTTTATTGCCCCATTACCGACCAATCCAGTACCGCATGGTGTTAATACAAGGGAAACCTAAGATGAGATACCCCTGCAGGTAAAAATTATAAATGTAACTAATGGTTTTGCATTTACAAGCCCTGAAGTAAATTAAAAGGTGATACAGTATATGCCTATCGTTCCATATCTCCACTTAGAGTGAATCCAGTTTTAGACAAGTGGAAACATTAACCATTCAAGTACAATTAAACGTCGTTCACAAATACACGCCCCATTACTGTCACCAGTTTAGTAACGCTACAACATTTGGTATAATTACGACGGTCAACTGTGCTGCATACGATCACCATACCTCATTTATTAATCAAGCTTTGCAACGTCACAATTTGTAGAAAATAAAATGTTCCAGCATTTGTGGACCTCAGAACATTGCGACACTTTTTCATCTGACCTACGTACAGCGCTATGGCTGAAGTTTGTGCGTCGAGGCTAAATGATTTCGGGTCGTAGTTAAAGAATTACGGCTTCTAGCTAAAGCTTGATGGAAAAAGGTGTAATCTGAATGTAAGCTCAGTTTGACCAGTTAAAAGTGATGGCGACGAAAAAAATGAGGAAACAACAACAATCGAAGTTTATGCAGTGAAGAGAATCCTTAGGCATTTACTCATTCACACACACGTGCATACACGTACTTGATTCAGTTCATCTGCGCCCATATAGTCCACAAAAGACCAGCAAGAACAATCTAGCACCACAAATTGCAAGTGGCATTTCTCCTCCAATCGGGCGAGATTCCGAATTAGCTTGGTGCGCCTTCGTTCGAGCTTCGAAAAGGTTTTATTTGTCCCTTCTTCCGTCGGGACTGGGACGACAGATGTATAAAATGCACCCAAACTATGTTTAGACTGATCTACAAAAGAGGTCGGTGGGGATGAAGGTGGTGGGTTGGAATGAAACCAAGCGAAGCAAAATGGAGACATTCGTTGATAGTCGAGATAATGTGGAAAATCGTTTGTGTATAGCTAAAACAAATTGAAATGATTATAAACCTGCTTGGTTTATGTGACAGTAAACATAATGCCCTTAATTGGTTAAGCCATTCTCTGAAAGTATTGATCATCAACCGTGTATCCCCAAGGGTAGGGGCTCTGACTCCTAGCCCGAAGGTTCTCAGTACGAATCTCAGTAGGGACACAAAATATGCACTACTAATGAGCCCCAAAACGGACGAAGCAGGCAGGTGCCCAGTGTTCATCAGTCAGCCACAAACTATGTGATCAGCGTTCGTAATCTGTCTGTTTATCTGTCCGTCTGTCTGTCCCTGTCGAACTGAAACCCCACAATTCAATCGTTATTTAAATTATCTTTCAACCTAGCGGTATACAGAAACTGTCCGGCTTTTGTTTTCCTGGGCCCAACGTGTATGACAATAAGTATGCAGTTTCACTAGACCAAGAATTTCAAAGGTGAGGTTCACGACAGATTTAACGTGAATACTCCAAACGATCCATAAAATCCAACTGGATAGATCTGAAAAGTGATAGACCAAATTAGTGAAAGTCGTTGAAAATTCTTACAGCTTACTCCAACCACGTGAATTTTGAGATGAGTCCCTTATCAGTGCTCACGGGAAACGTAGTTGCACTCACACCGGACTTGAAGGAGACGTTCGCATGAAGAAATTCATTTGATTATNAAGACCCCCCCCCCCCAAATGCATTCGCATAATTAACCATCGCTGTTTTGAACAGTGCCATCTGCTCCATTGTGAACTGTAAGCTGACAAGCATAAATCATGAGGTTCATGAAGAGAACTTGCACGAATTATAGCACGGGGACTCCACCTAACATCTGGATTGCTACCAGGCCGTCACAATTGGTGACTAACAAGACACAGAGACGGAGACAAACAGGAAAGGCGACCAATTGACACGAAACTCACCACCGTCGGCCGATACCACAACATGCTTGATTGTGTCTGTGTCTTTCGCGTCGGGCGTTGGTCTGTTTGGACTCGCCCCGGTTGTGACTTTTCTGGCCGAAAAAAATTCGGATGATTCCAAACCCAGCGCTTTTTCCACGTGGCGTAGTCGAGCCTGCAGCTTCTTGATTCGGTTGAACACATACAACGGGTCTAATCCGACGCGCTGGTATACACTCAGACGAAAATGTTCTGCGCACGTGTAGTAAATGCTTCCCTCGTAACGAATTACTTTGATGATACTGGGCTGTACACACTGGGGTGTGGAGCGGAAACAGAAAATAAGAGAAGTCTGTTGTAGACTACGGGTTATTGTACTGTTGCGGTCTGAATAATCAATTCTCACGAACCAACACAGTAGAACATTAGCACAAACGAACGCGTGCGAACAAAAGCACGATGGGACCAGGAACTTAGAACATTGTACAAACCAGCAGTGGATAAGTCTATTGAATTCGAAATCAATATCTGAGCCGCAAGTGTTTTCAACTCTCCGGGAATAGGACGAAGAGAATGGAGTCAGTGGAATCAATGCATAGACAACTCATGGGACTTAGAGAGAAACTAACCAATAAAGGCTTGGCATAGAGTACAATGATTAGGGGTGAGATCATGTGGTGGCAGCGAAGGCGTGACGGAATGAGATTCAAACACATTCGGCCTTCAAATAGATGCGATAGTGAGTTACACTGCTTGACTATGGTGAGAACGGAGCACAAAATTTGGGAACACTGTTGAATTACTGCATCACATATAACCATAATAAGTAGCAACCTCCGCAGAGCTGATTTCATACTTGATAAAGTTCCATTGATGAGAGCGCTTGCATGAGAACCTGGAGAAAATTCAGAGTTTCATTTGATGGAAAATCTTCGACCGCGACCGATCTTGCACCTTGCGTGATAAAGAGGTGGTCAGCAAAACAACGATATGATGCAACTGGGTTGGTTATCTGACTTTTTAGAGAAGTTGGTGAAACTAACTTGATGATGTTGTGACAAACTGAATAAATATGAATTCGTGGTTATCTTTGGATATGTCAATTCTTTTCGAAGGAGTCTGGTAAAAGCTAATCAGGAGGTTTCCTCGTTTGGCATTAATTACCTTTACAGTGGAACGAATTAGGGTCACCCTAAACCCCCCGGATATGAATTGGCCCAGTTGATTTGATGCACACTTCAGTCATGGCTTGACAGGTAAGCTAGGACAAACGAGAGCAGCCGAGAACTTCAGACCAGGGTGAGTCGCACATTCACGCATGCATATAAACCAGTTACAGCTGACTGAGAAGGCAAGATTGTATTCCTAATTCAGCTGCTAAAACGGTGGTCAAAATCCAAGCGCATTACAAAGAAAAAGCTTGTTGTCATGCAGGTCACACTTGGTTGTATGACGGATCGAGATGCAAACCAAGGAACAGGCCGTACTGACGTGGGTACATCACACGTACCAAATTCCAATTAGACTACATGAAATCTAAAACAGGTAACTAATCCTAAGATGTGGCGCTCCCGGTAAGGGATACTAACTGTGCACACATGAAAACCTGAAACCACTAAATGCCAAATGATGAACACGGAATTCTAGAATATGTACGAAATCTACCAGTAGAACAAAACTTGGCTCATTTAGAGGCCGAACCCAGTTTCGANCAGTTTCGAATCGCTATGATCGGTTCGATTTTTCATGCAACCGGCTCATTCTCTAGCCAAAGGATTGCTAGTGATCCAGTAGATTCAAGTAATCCGATTCGTCATTTGTCAATGATACCTTTGAAATTAACAAAATTTAACACCCAGAATTGACCGTGAATTATTAATGGTACAGAAATGGTGAATAAAAGCCAAGGTCATAGTCATATATATATTGGGATGATTTTTCATTGAATCTGAAAGGGACGCTAGTTGAAACCTTACTCTGAATCCAATCTTGACGGTAACAATAAGTGATAACCATAAATCCAAAACTATACTACCTAAATTCTACCACGAAACACAAAATACTGCAAACACATTCGACCAAGCGAAACCTACTTTACTTCCCGTATGCGGCTTTCTGATAACTCATTAAGTATAAAATTTAATTTTTTGAATAGCTTTTTA